GGATTTTGAGGCAGGTTTCTCAATGGCCCACGGCTTGCTGATTCAGCTGACTATCCTGAGAACCTCCGGGATCTGCCTGTCTCTGTCTCCCTGGCACCAGGATTACAAGCATGCATCATCATGTCCCTTTATATTGAGCACAGGTTCCAGGGATCAAGCTCAGGTCCTCACGCTTATATGGCAAGCACTATATCAACTGAGCCATCTCTCCAGCTCTGTACCTAGTTTATTTTTGAAACAGGGTCTCCCCATATAGCCTGGGCTTGCCTAGAATTCACCATCCTCCTGCCTCATCCTCTGGAATGCTGAGAAGACAACTCTGCACAATCATGGCCAGCTTGGAAATTTGGTTTTCTTCCCGGTTGAGTTCAAACTCGCCTTGCTAAGAACTGACAATGAACACCATGCGTGGGGAAGACTTGGGGTACACCCAGGAGGGAGGCTAGAGAGGCCCAGCCTCTCCTGCAGGCTAAGGGATCATCTGTGAAAACGGTAATACAATGTCTGCCTGCCTTGGGTGCGTCCTAAATATATATTTCATGGCTGCTTTGGAGAGGAAAGTATATTTATAGCGCCTTTAGTGCCATTCCAGTGTATTGTGTAAATATGTAAATTAGGCTCCGAGAGCTACACAGCAAAATGCCTTGGAATAATTTGTGTAAATAAATCATTCGAGTCTGCCCACCACATAGCTGCTTTCCAGGCGCCTTTTGCAACAGGATTCCAGGGGAGGCTGGTTCACAATTTAGAGAAATGATCCAGCTGGTCAGCCGGTCCTGGTAGAGCTTGATGGCCATGTCCTCAGGCTACACTCAGGGACCACCCTCTCTGGAATAAGAGATCCTGTGATTTAGCCTGATGCGATGCCATTAGCTACTGCTGGGTGCAGCAGCCATGGGCTCTTCAGCAAAACCTTCAGGGGTGAAGACAGGGATGGGGACAGATGGGGACACAGTGTTGATGGCTTTGTCTTCAGGAGGGCAGGCAGGGATGTGGCTGGGCAGGGACACATCAGGCTGAACAGACCATTTGGGCCATGGGACCCCTACCGCTAAGTGTCTCTGTGCCCCTAGATGCCAGGCGGGCACAACTCTGCCTAAACCAGGGCTCCGCCCGGAGAAGGCCTTGCCAGGGAGCTTCAGTGGAGAAAATGAGAAGATATAGTGTTTAATGGTTTGTGTAATGAGGCCTGAAATAGATGACAGCTGAGATCCAGAGGCCCCTGGGTCCCAGCAAGGTGTTTAAATATTGACAATCTATAAAAGCTTGCATGCTGCTGTGAGCTGTGGCTGGCCTGTGTTGCAGAGGGGATGGGGCATCATGCTGTGTGTGTGTGTGTGTGTGTGTGTGTGTGTGTGTGTGTGTGTGTGTGTGTGTTTTCAATGAAAAGCCCTGGTCCAGCAGCCCACCATGGTCAGTTAGCGAGATCCACAAGGGGACATGGGTGGCAATTGTCTTTCAGTGTTGGTGGCAAGACAGCAGCCAAAGCCCACTCTGAACACAGAGTCACTGTAGAGAGCTGGTTGGTTGTCCTCAGGGCCATGGAGGAGACAAAATGATCACAGGAGGCCTCAGAACCTTCACTGTCTTTAGAACCTGTCTCTAGAGCTGGCCAGCGCCTTGCTCCTCATATATCAGCTAAAGGCCTCTCTCCAGCAAGCTGGAGCCAAAGAATTTCTCCTTCCTTCCTTCCTTCCTTCCTTCCTTCCTTCCTTCCTTCCTTCCTTCCTTCCTTCCTTCCTTCCTTCCTTCCTTCC